CGTTCTGTTTTTAACATTTTAAGTTAGCCAACCGCCAATCAGCTATTAAAAATTATAAATCTAATATGTCCATTTCTGTAAATATCAACCACGTAGGTGCCAAACAACAATTCCATTGAATCGGTGCATGTATATGAACAGATATTTTGACAGAGAAATGTGTGGTAGTTGACGTATCTAAGTTAGATATACTTCTGTTTCAGTGTGATAATGAAAACAAGCATGGTCTCCACTGACTACATCAAATTTGCCTGTTTTAATGCATATGCTTGGGAGGAGAAAGCTGCATGGAAGGCCAACAACGTTCATTCAGGGTTTATATGTGAAATCAAGGGAGACAGAAAAAATATGCTTGGGTGGAGAAAGCTACAAATAAGCAAAAACTCATAAGATCAAGGGAGAGAGAAAAAATAGGAAGGCAGGGGGATCTCACATGCTCTGCAGAAGCTCTCAGATTTCACACTGAACAGTTACCTTTACAGGCAAAACCTCTCAGCAGTTTAGACAAACAATGATAAGATTAACTGCATATTGAAGGATCAAGGAATGAAATCCAGTTGATGATCTCCTGAACTTGTTCAAGAAGAATCTTCCAAGCGGTACGATATATGGAGGCCGAGGCTGTTTATAGCTGAAGCCCTTGATATGTATCTTAGTCTCTGATGATGCATTCATCATTTTAATTTCCCAGAGATAAGTTTTGCATTGTTTCAACTTTCACCATCATAATAAGAAAAATTTACTACATTCCGCATGTCTATATTGGGCTTCATCCCTGATCACTTAAACTTCTCTCAGAACCCACCTAAAGATCTGGGCATACAGACAGATCCTAAGCCTGAAACTGAGATTTCCCCGGGTCACATCACTGCAACCAGTTCTATACCAACCTCTTTGACCCTATGACTAGAACTTTTGATCGTTTTACAACTGTACACTATCAAGTGCAAATAACACGTCATGTCCATATAAAAGGATCAATAACTCCTAAAAGCCTTTTCAGCTACAATTCACCATGAGTAACATGTTCAAAGAAAAGACACAAAGTGTTCCACCTATACCAAGTATGTTTAAAAAATATAATAGAAGAAGCTAGTAGGGTCTCTAGCACAGCTTGATATTTCAAAGCACCTTGATATGGAGTTGATCTAAATTAAGCTTTATGATTTTTGTTAAATTGCTTTTGGAAGTTCTGCATGAATGTAATTGAAGGGTCTAGTGGTCCATTAGTGAATGCATTATAGTAGTCCATGAGAGATATTATGAACTTGACAGGAGATTTTAGTTAAAAAAACTTTAGATTTTTACTTGATCAGTAATGTGTATTCCACTTAGGTTTGATGTCTAAGAACCCTATATATGATTCCTAGATTTCCATTTTAGCTCAAATTTGTTTCCCGTTCTATTTTCCTGAACTTAGTTCTCCTAATAGCAAACCTTGCCTTAACCAATAAAACTACTCCAAAGCCACCCCTAGACAATAAATGACTAGTTGGGGAAACTCCATTCCCTTTGCACTGGGACAATTCAGTGGAGAAATCCGTGAATAGTTCAAAACTCTCACATCCAACTATACACACTCACAAGTCACAAATTCATTAAGGTGTTGAACCTTAAAGGTCCTACGTCAATTGGAGCCACAGCAAGGCAGCATCAAGACCACTGTTACCACCTGAAGTTATTGAGGAAGACTCGCTGATGCTCAAAAAGACTACCTGCTGTTCTTCATAGTAGAGCAGTTGCAAATCTAAATCTTCTTATTGTTGATGTGGAATCAAGGTTCAACTTAACAGGTAGTACACTACCTACCAAATAATCGAGGAGAGAGCATATGTGATCACTGAAGACAGAAAGAGGAAGTGGTAGGTCTTGCAAAGGTTCAGTCGAACATTGTTAAAGAAGATTTGAGAAGGGTATGACAACTCACAATCTGCAATAGCAACTTGCTAAAGCAAATTTAAGTGACACATGCTCAGAAAGAAAGAATATGTGATTTGACCAGCTTCCCAATTTCAACCAAGGATCATGACAGCAGCAGCATCCATGCAAAGATTGATGAGTTGACGACAAGAAATCAGATTGAAGACCCTTGCCAAAGTTCTAATCAAGCAGAAATCTGATATAAGGAAAGAATAGTTTTATCAACCCATTTATGCTTTTCAACTTGCCTCTGGTATGCAGGAGTACCTTGCACTTCAACTATCAAGAATAATCCTCATCAGACCCATGAAGCAGCATTTGAAATGGTTTAGTACCAGTACCGAAAGCCAGAATCACCTTAATAAGAACTCTAATGACATAGGAGGAAAGAAAAAGATTGCAACAAATCACGATTCAAGGTTGTAACTTGTATGTGAATGGCATAAGGCATATCAGTGTCATATGAGAACCGACTTCATAAAACCGAGTAGAGCAACACAAGAAAAGACAGAAAAAGGTAACAGATAAGTAGGTGAAGTAAAATTTATCTATCATGACTCAGCAGATTAAGATATGATCTTCTCTACTATGGCTGTTCAGAGTGCCCTAGTTTCTGAACATTGAGGAAGCTGATTGGAGTAGAATCAAAATTGTTCAGAGACTTGCTATGGTAAGAAATTGCCCAAGATGGTACTCAACGGAAATAGTTGCATGAACATGATATCACCTTAGCAGCCAAAAGATAGAAGCTTGAACAACACCCATAACTTGGCATGGATAGACTATGTTACGATTAAGGCCAGAAAACATAAGAGTGCTTAGAAAGATGATGATATACGCACTAAATTAAAAAATCACCGCAGTAGATGACATAGTCTCCGTAAGGGACTTGGATGGCAATTTAGCTGACATTTGTGATTCCTAGATTGTTTCCTTGAAATATGCAAGCGAATAACTCAAAATTCAGCAATGACTTTATCTACTTTGTCATGTTTGATGCATGTTATCTTGGTTGTGATGTGGGTTCTCTTAGGTATTGTTCAAAGGAGCCTAGATGCGATTCCTTAGGCTTACATAGTGCTACAGTTTCTCTTCCTACCCCAGATTCCTTAAATATGTCCTAGCTGGAAACCAGTAAGCAGCTCCATATCTAGCACTCTATAACCAGTTCATTGAGTGAGGTGTTAAACCTAAATAATGCTAAATATTTATCTAGACATAGTTTTGCAGTATGTATAGGAATGAGTGTATCTTAATTTTTGGAGATTACCTGAGCAGAAGCAGAATGATCAGGTGTGCTTTTAGGATCCGCCCAAGTAACTGTTGGGGTGTTGCCATCAAGCTTAAAATTGGCACTAGCTAGTTTCTGCCTTGAATAATCCGCACAGGCATTGTTGTAATACTCAACGAAAGCAAAACCACGATTACGTGGTGGGTTTTGAGGATCCTGGGTTAAAACAAACCGTTTAAAAAAGGGTTTAAGATAACAACTATATCATTGATGATGTATCTGGTTCATAAGTTATGTTAAAGTCACCTTTATGAGCTCAATGACTTCTGAACCCGGGCCTGTCTCTTCAATAATTTTTCTGAAATCGTCATCCGTCCATGTCTTGGGCACATTGCCAATAAATAGTCTGTATTTAGTTTCAGAAAGTGAACACCTTAAGGTCCTACCCTGCAATGATATGACCAGAACATTTTTCATCAAGACATGCTATATAACACATAAGCATCAAAGTGAATACCAACCCCAGAAAATATCAAATAAACCAGCATAAGGCCATACCTTAAATTCTTTGTTATGTAGCTCTTCAATGGCCTTTTGAGCAACATCCTTGGTTCTGAATGCGACAAAAGCAAAACCTTTATTTTCATTGGTGTCCCTATTCTTCACCAACCTTACCTGCACAGTCATGTAGTATAAATTAACTCCATTCCAATTACAATATCAGTGTCTCTTGAAGTAACCATAGTTAGGGCTGACCTCAACAACATCCCCAAAAGATTCACAGAGATCACTCAAGTCTTCCTCAACCACATCTCTAGGAAGCCCTCCAATGAAAATCTCAGAGCCATGGGGGGGAAGAGCAAGAAGCTCAGCATGCTTCCCTTTATTATCTTCTCCAGAGACAGGGAATTTTTCTTCATCATCTACCTGCCCAGTAGAATTCTGATTTCTATCTTCTTCAGACTCCTGCTCCTTTCCATCATATCCACTAATATCCTCCTGTTCTTCACCATTTTCATCATCACCTCCCTCAGGTCCTTCTTCCTCTAATTGCTCTTCAACATCGTCATCCATCTCTTCATAGTTGTCATCTTCAAAATCCACCTGGTCATCAATTTCCCTGCTATCTGCCATGGTGTTCTACAAGCAGATCTTTTGACACAATAAATGAAGTTTTAGCTTGCCAATAACCTATGTAGGATCTGAGAACACCAGTATGTATACATGTCACGGACAAAAAGACGATGTGGAAGCAAAGGCCATGGATAGATAGAAGAAACTCTTCCAAGTTTGAAGAAATGAGAGGCGATAAGGATCAAAAGGGGGTTTCAGTCAGTGAATCATTTAGTAAAATATTTCTGGGTATCATTTTTATACTTTTCTGAGATAGATAGCCATTTACCTTGGCTTAATCGGGAAGCGCAGCTGGAAATCGCAGCTATCCGGTACCGTAAATCGTCCCAGATCGTTGCAGATCGTCGGTCAGTTCAATCGCAACTCGCAAGTCGTTGTGTTCTCTTCGGTCAAACGACCTAATCGCGAGAAGTAAGCGTTCCATTTGTTGGAAACCTGCAACAATACTGGGCTCTTTTTCTTCTTTTGGGCTTCATCATTTCATTTCATCAAACATACAAGCCCAATCTATTATTATATATTCTTGTTTAACATGAATATAAATTACCTAACCATATCAAATATTTTTTAATCTATCAAAGCAGAGATGGTTAAATGGGTCTGGCCCAGTCTGGGACCTGTAGAGGATCGGGATTGGAACTGACTTGGAATCTGCTTGGTCAGGAATCGATTGGAACCAGTTTGAGACTGCTGGTTACGGTTTTCATCAAAGAACAAAGCCACGTTCGAGACCAGCGATTTTTAGATTCGTTTAAAGGCTCATAGGGGCATCGATGATAATGCCAGGAGCTAGTTTGTCGAAAAAAATGTACGGATAAACCTTTGTTTACACGTTATGTTGCTAACTTAACGAACTAGTGGACACTGATAACCGATCAGGATGCATCCTCAACCAAACCATGGTTCTTTGTTTGTGTCAACTTTCTAAGGTTTATGTTGTTATTTTGCATTTTGATATAAAGTTTTTTTTTTTTTTGGTTAAATGCATGAAATAGCAACATACTTTCATAAAATTTCTTATTAGAGCATTCTACTTTTGTTTTTCTATATTACAGCAATAACTTTCAAATTATTTTTTATTAAGGCATTGTACTTTAAAAAATCTATCCATAATAGCAATGGGTAACCTGTTACCTTTTAAACCGGTTAACCATTTGACTTTTTTCTTGTGTGGCTTTAATGAGGTGATGTGGATGCCACATCATTTTGATGACTTAACTAAAATTAAAATAAAAATTTATTTCAAATTATTATTAGTGATTTTCATTTTTCATTGCTATGATCTAAAAAAAATATTTTTTTTTACTTTTTCTTATTAAGTTGCATTCAAATTAAATATTCTTAGAATAAAATATTTATTAAATAAATATGAAACATTATTTTCAAGATATATTTTGTTTGTAAAAAAGGTAATTTTTCCTATTTTATGTTGTTCAAATAAATACATATCTTTTAAAGTTCTCTTTAAAATATTAATAAAATAAATTGTTATCTATATTTTTTTAATATTGTTATATTAATAAATAATTCAAAAAAGTCTAATTAATTTAATATATTTATACGTCAACTAAAAAGTTTTTGAACAAATATAATATATTATTTAAAAGATAATATTTTTTGGTAAAAAATGAACAATTCTTATTTTACTTTTTTCAAAAAACACATATTTTTTTAAAAATGTTAGTGAGATAAGTTGTGTTCTACTAGTTTTATTGATATTGATATTAATGAATAATTTAGAATTTTTTTAATTCATTTAATACATTTATTAAATAATATGTAAAATATCTAAATATTAAAATTAAAAATATAGTGTTTAATAAGAACTAGTAGATGTTATAATAAAATAATTTTGAAAGTACAATGACGTGGCAAGAAAGTCACATCACTATAATACATGTGGACAGCCTACGTGAACAATAAGATGGCATGGAAACCTAGTATAATGGGTAAATTTAAATCAAAATAGCATAAAAACTCGACATCGAAAGTGACACATCACGTTATTCTTGGATGTTTATCCTACTTTATTTTTCGTTATCAAAAAAGAATCGTACAAAAATAGCATAAAAACTCGACATCGAATTAATTAGATCTAAACGTATAGACTTATGTGTAGATCTGGTTGCCTTAAATGCATTTATGTGTCTTTATTTATTAATTTTATCTTCATTCACATCAACATAAAGACGTAGGATTGTTTATCAAAATTTTAATTAAGTTCTTTATGGATGAATTTATCTGTCCGGATAAATTAGTGGTGTTGTTTATTTTTTTTATATGAACCAACAGTCTGAATAATATAAATGACCGATTTACTCCCAATATTAATCATTTGAACATCAAAACAAAAAAATCATAAAGAGGTTGACGAATGGGTGCCTCATTTGGGAAGAGACTGATGTTTTAAATAAATGGTAGGGGTGTCATTTTTGTGGCTGAACGGGGACAACACACCATTTCAATCTGTACGATTAAGACATGTAATGTGCGAATAAGCCGTAAGTAAACAACTCAATAAGTTGTGCGAATAAGCCTAATTAAGCCGCAAGTAAACGTCCCCAGACTTTTAAACATTTGATATATACATCTAACCTAATTCTTACATAAAAAAGAATGCACATGACAACACCGTACTTGAAAAAAAGTATCGAGTCTACGACTCCGCCCAATGAACGATGGACTGTTTATTAAACGCTTACTAATTCATATAACTTTACCGAATGAACATAAAGAAAATTGAAAATTTTACTCAATAAGAAAGAAAAAATGATGACTCTTACCGGTAAACGTTTAACAATACTGCTATTTTTTAGTTATTTTTCCGAGGTGCCGTACGTGAAAACGCCAAAACGATCAATAAATTCGATGGACCGAGGTCGAATAAATAAGCATATCCACAACCATCAACCGTTTCACGACGACAAATGAATGGATATTATAATTTATTACGTGAAATATTTACATATCATAAGAAAAAGAGAAAATTGGTGGTGATAAAAACTCAACATCACATAATCCCGCAAATTTAGCGTCAACAGAAACCAGAAATTGCAGATCGAAAAGCCAGAAACATATTGGAAAAACTATCCAATTAATGGATGGGGGTGGTGGTGGTGGTGGTGGTGGTGGTGGTGGTGCAGAGCATACAATCCAAGATCCTACGGAAGGCATACCGTAGTCGAGGATAAACCCTGTGTGTATACACACTCGATTCCCTCCATAGATCTTCCATTGTTTGCACGAATAGATTCAAGCTTCTGATTGGGGGTACATACAGAGTCAACGGCACCGCCGAGAAAGCCACTGCAAAGAACAAGTGCAGCATCTTGATTTCTAGAGAGAGAGATGATGATGGAGCTTCTAGTCTTCTTGATTCTTGATCTCTAGAGAGAGAGACTGATGGGGGTTTTGGATTTCTTGATTTCTAGAGAGAGAGATGATGATGGAGCTTCTAGTCTTCTTGATTCTTGATCTCTAGAGAGAGAGACTGATGGGGGTTTTGGATTTCTTGATTTCTAGAGAGAGAGAGGATGATGGGGTTTTGGTTTTCTTGATTCTTGATTTCCACAGAGAGAGAGGAAGATGGGGTTTTGATTTGCTTTGATGATGATGATGATGGGGTTTTGGTTTCTTGTTTTCTTTGTTTAGGGTTCTTGATTTCTATAGAGAGAGAGAGAGAGAGAAAGAGGGTTGATGATGAGAATTTGATTTGATTTCTTGAGGGAGAAGAAGAAGACGATGAGGATGGAATTTGGGTGTTCTTTTTCTGGGTGTGGGGAGACTTTGTATGTAGGAATTTATATGGGATTGGGGAGTGAGGGTCGTAGATGATTTTGTAAGGAAAAAGTCATGTGGTTTGTGGGTTCTTCTGGTTTTGTGTACGCATCCCACTTTTCAACCCATTGTTTGGAGGCCAAACTTCAGGACTTTAATGGTTTAAATAAACAACTCTTTTTATGAATATTTTTTTATAAAATAAAAATATACCTTTTTTGTTATGACACTTCATATCTTTTTAAATGATTATGGGGGTATGGTTCATGATAACAAATAATTGAATGATCTGTAGTATTTTGTAATTATTAGATTTATATAATATTTGTTTTTAGCATGAAAATTAGTTTATATGAATAAGTTATATTCTTGGTTCCTATGGTTTATGTGTCTTAATATTTTAGGTCTTTATTTTGAAATATTTATGGTTTTATAGTTGTGATTTGTATTTTATACCGTATTGGATAACTAAATCTAACTTCATCAAAAAAAGGTGTTAGACGAGTTAAATCAAAAGGGTAGTTTAGTCATGTAACTTTTTTATTATTATTATTAACACCACAGGGACCAAATATATAATTTACTATTTCTATTGTATTAATATATATATATATATATACACACACACACACGTACGTACGAGATGCATCAGGGTCGATCCTCTTCCTCTTCGGCAACCATTTCCGGCTCCATGGCGACAGCCATTTCGGCTCCCACCACTGCAACTATCTACGACCTCTTCAACTTCGTCCCATGCATCGTTGTCTTTACCTTCGTCATCTGCATTGCATCTATAGTCTCATCATCTCCATCAAGACATAGGAGAAGGAGCAGTTCCAATGTATGAGATGCAGAAGGAGCCAAATCCGTCTCCAACCATCTTTTGTTCCCCTTCTACACCACCAAATCGATCCATGTCTCTTCCTCTTTTTAAAATAATCTCCCGTAAACCTCCAAGTCTTGGAACCCCATATTCGGGTCTTAAAGACTTTGAGACCACGACTATCTTCGGATAAGGAATCCATGTAGCCAACCATACGCTCTGATTTAACGTGTTCTGGTTTGGAAGCTTCAATTTGCCATTTATGAATATCATCTACGAATGTGGACCTAATTGATACGTGAGAGAGAGCATAGCAAATTGATCCTACATATGCCTTCCGACTAAAAGCATATGCCACTACGTTAGATTTTCCTGAATGATACAGGATTTCACAGTCGTAGTCTTTGATGAGTTCCATAGCACGATGTTGTCGCATATTCAGGGTCTGTTGATCGAATATGTACTTCAGTCTCTTATGGCCGGTGTACAATTGCCATTTTGTACCATATAGATAGTGACACCGGAGTTCAAGGGGAAACACGACAGCAGCCAACACAAGATCATGAGTCAGAATTAGTGTTCATATTCCTTCAACTACCACGCCTTTCCTTATTGCATTAGTACACAACTCAAGCCCGATGCGTCGCTATACCACGAAGTCATCATTGCCCTCAAGTAATGCAAAACTAATGTATGTGTTAGACAATCTTTCAAAGTTTGAAACACACTTTCTTGAACTTCAGCCCAAACAAATTCCACATCTTTATGGGTAAGAGAAGTAAGAGGTACGACGATCTTTGAGAAATCCCATATGAACCGTTAGTAATAACCCGTTAGACCGAGAAAACTACGAACTTCAGAGGCATTATTGGGTTGTTCCCATTTTTGTATCACCTCAATCTTGAATGGATCCACAAAAAACTCCATCACAAGAGATCGTATGTCATAAGACATGTACCTGACGGAGCCAGAACTCGCATTTTGAAAACTTGGCGTATAACTGCTCCTTTCTAAAAAATTCCAACATCTCCCGAAGATGTGAAGCATGATCAGCTTTCGTCTTAGAGTACACCAATATGTTGTCAATGAAGACGATGACAGACTTATCAAGCATCGGATGACACACTCGATTCATTAAGTCCATGAATGCAGTCGGTGTATTCGTAAAACTGAATGGCATAACCAGAGATTCATATTGCCCGTAACGGGTATGAAAAGTTGTCTTGGGTACATCCTCCTCACATACCCTTAACTAATCGTATCTCGATCTTCAATCAATCTTGGAGAAATAACTTGCTCCCGGAAGTTGGTCAAACATATCGTCAATACGCGGAAGGGTATTTATTCTTGATGGTTACCTTATTTAGTTTTTGGTAATTTATGCACATCTGAAAGAAACCATATTTCTTCTTTACGAATAAGACTGGGGCCCTCCACTGTAAAGTGCTCGGTCGAATGAAGCCCTTATTCAACAACTCATGTAACTGGCTCATCGTCTCTTTCATTTCAACCGATATGAGACGATAAGGTGTCCTAGCAATAGAAGCGTCATTGGGTACCAGATCGATCCGAACGTCTACTTGCCTGTCCGGTGGTAGTTTAGGCAAATCGTCGAGGAATACATCCAGATACTCGTATACGATCGGTGCATCTTTCACTGTCTTTTTCACTTCTTTCGACGCATATTGTAACCGCGGTGTTACAATATCCCACTTGGGGTGAAGTCTGGTGCCCCGATTTTCAAAAAAAATGAGAGTAAAAAGGAATGAATCTGAGTCACAAGTGGTATTCTTAAGGGTTGTTTGTTTACCTCTTAATAGTTATATTAAGAGGCAACATCTGAATCGCTAAGAGGTGAATTTTGTTTGGCAAAAAAAAGATCTGCCCCTTAATGGTTCTGAAACCCTCTGAATGATTTTGTATCTTGGGTCTTCCTTAACCATTCAGCGTATAATTTCATTGTAATCAATTATCAATATTTATATTTCATTTTGCACTATATCATGTGAGTCTGTTAATCATTTTGACCACTAAATCATTCAACAATTGTCAAATAATCCCTTAGTATTTCATTATGAGACCTCCATGTATACGAGTTGCCTTTAGAACCTGAATCACAACTGGTCCTATGGAGTGTACCTCTGTAATATTTGAAAACATAAGTTCATAGAGATGCATGGTGTTGCTTCATTTAGACTTTTTAGACGATTTTGATTACCTAACCTTTATTGTCATACAAAACATTGTACACACATTGAGCATGCAAAAATTTGTGATTGTTATTTTGGATCTTATTAAAACTGAACCAAATAAACCAACCTAGTATATTCCATATATATGCTGACATTTTCTTTGTCTCTTAAAATTTGAAAATGCTAGGTTAGAATGCCTTACAACAAGGTTTTAAAATTGAAAATGTTAGACCTAATTGTTGCATATATATATATATATATATATATATATTCAAATTTACACTTGTAAAGATTGACATCTATTATAAAAGTTTTGTTTGAAAAAACAGTTGGTATTGCTTTTGACTGGTTAAAAAAGCAGCTGGCACAAAACATTTTCATAAGCTATTATGAAGAAACTCACATGCTTGAAAATTCAATTATTTTGATTGAAAGCAAAGAAATTGGATTACCTGGTTGAGTTAATGAAGGAAATTATAGACCAAAAGAGGATTGGGCTAAGAGCATCATGTTCTATATATACATACGTATCTATTGTAAACTTATATTTTTTTATTATTCTACAACTGTTTTTTTAAGAGAGCCATATAATTAGTGTCTTTTTATGGAAAAATATTATTTATATGAGTTGATTCCCATTTTAAAAAAAAAGGTATTTGCATGTTTAAAATCAAAAGCATACATTTAAGTATTTACCGTAAATATCATTATACTTTATTGAGAAACACCTTTTTGGCATATTCATACCTTTTGATGCAATGCTACTATGCTAGCATTTGAAAAAACCATTAATTTCAAAATCACAGCCAGGGGCGGAACACAAACTTTCTAACCGTAGGGGCCGGAACTAGCATATTATATATTTCAAAGGTACCAAAAATACATTATCCAAAGTTATAACATAGTAAAACTTTAAAACTAAACGTTAAATATAAACATGTGAAACATCGCAAATCAAAGTGGAACCCGTCTATCTTTCGCGACCTTGAACTCATCCACAATTTCCTCCAAACTAATCTTCTCAGCTACTTCCCTTTCGATGAACAAAAGTAACGAGTCATTTAGAAACTCATCATCCATTTTATTCTGTATTCTTGTTTTCACAATATTCATTGCTGAAAACGATCTCTCGGTTGTCGCGGTAGAAACTGGAAGAGTAAGTAATAGACTTATTAATCGATAAATAAGATCAAAAGTGGTTTCTCTTCTAGTCCTTACCAACCATTGACCCAATGCTGAAAGAGATGTCAATTCCTTATAATCTACATGTTG